GAAAACCACCTTTCCACCTTCAGTGTTGCAACTACAGATGCCTTGTCTGAACTCAGCTCTCAGAATGATAGTGATTCTAGAGGACAAAAGTATGTGTGTGTCTGTGTGTGTCTGTGTGTGTCTGTGCGTGCGAGCAGATATACACAGAAGTTAAACATAAAACAGCAGATTAGTTATATCTAACATTTTGAAACATTTGAAACACTCTTTCCTCTCAAGCTAAATCAGACCTTTAGCTCTCTACTCCAACTCCTTCCTCTCATTCCAACCCTAGTCTAACTCAAACCCCTCTCAAACACTATTCTAGCTGTACTCTTTTCAAAGCCCCCCAAAACTCAGAACCTAACTGCCATTTTCCAACTAACCCATGGAAATCTCCTCAAACTTTCCATCAATCAGCATCCTCTTCAACACAACATTCTCTCCCCCATGCCAACAGCTACTTATCTCATACTCACACAATAGACCAAGCAATATTTCTAAATACAAACCCATGACATCAAGTGTGTGGCCCTTCATATATAACCCTTCTGAAAAATGATCAAGTTCTGGTGAACTAGGGCAGGGATCTACAAGAATAACTCACAAGTATTGCTGAGTGGCAGCTCCCATCATCCCTAGCCAGCATAGGTGATAGTAAGGAATGCTGGGAATTGGAGCTCGACAAAATCTGGAGGGCATTCCTTTATCCATTTCTAGGGAAATTTGGCTTATACAAGTCCATCCTCTTTGCCTTTGCTTAGGTGTCTTTCACACCACACAATACTTGCTTTTTGATCCGACTTTAACTGCCAAGACTCCATCCATCTGAATCCTGGGGTTGACATTTGGTTAGCTCTGTCAGAGTATCCTACACACATTACAAAACTGCAGTTCCCAGGATTTTCATATAATGGAACCATGACAGCTAAAGTAGCATTGAAGTGCTAGAACTACATAGTGTGTAAAGGACCTCATGCCCAAGCCTGAAAATTGGCCGGCAATTGTACTTTTTCAGTCATTGAGCAATGGACATATTCAGTTCATGGCTGCATAAGCAGAGTTCCTCATGCACAAGCATCACGTAAATGCTTGTGTTTCCTAAAACATCATGGATTGAAGAATAACACCCCCTAGTCTCAAAGTTCCTTAGCTCTCTGTTTGCATTCTGCATTTTCCATTGAGCAAAAGCAGCATTCATTGGAGAAATTTCAGCAATTAGATCATTTGTTCACTGTTGTCATATACTGTAGGGGTAGCATAGTGCAACCACACTGCATACCTCTGCAGGTAGAGATGTGAGAGCCAGCGTGGTGTAGTGGTTGGAGTGTTGGATTATGACTTTGGAAACCCGGTTTGATTCCCTACTCAGCCATGGAAACTCACTGGATGACCTTGGACAAGTCACACTCTCTCAGCCTCAGAGGATGGCAGTGACAAATCTCCTTTGAACCAAACTTGTCAAGAAAGAAAACTCTGTGATAGGTTCGTTTTTGGGTCACCATAAGTTGGAAATGACTTGAATGCACACAACAACAACAGAGATTTGCACAGGGGCATAAGAAAGAAAGAAAGAAAGAAAGAAAGAAAGAAAGAAAGAAAGAAAGAAAGCTGTATATACCTGATTTGAGAAGGGATTTTGGGAGAGGGTTCAGCAAAGCTTTCAGGATTATTGGAAGCCTTTGGAGTGACAAAAATGCTGCAAAAGATTTCCACAAGTCGATTATTATTATTATTATTATTTATAGAGCAATATAAAATTTACACATAAAAAAAGAATAAAGCCTGTCAAGTGGCACACAATCAAAAAAACACCAACATTGCAAGATTAAAAACATCTCTAAAATAATGCTAACTAGTATAAAAGGAAGACAAAGAAACAACCGATTAACAATCAGTAATTTGGAAGTTGTATTTTCTCCATCCTTGCTCTTGAGACTACAGGGTGGAGCATGTTAATCCAAGTATTGTCCTGTGTGCTCCTAAACAGCCTGGAAGTAAATTGTTAAACAACCCTGAAGCTGGAACAGGGCTGAGGATTTGTCCCTACACTTGTGTTGCACTTCAGAGGCCCAGCAGAAATGCAAAACAAATGGAGAGATGATCTAGGGTTTTTTTGTTTTTTCTTCCTCCATGTTTCCAAGGTTGGGAAAAAGTTCAGTGCAGTTCATGGTGATGGAATACTTTCCACAGTGAGCTTGGCCAATGGAACTATGGACCCTTGAGAATAATAAAAGAGTTAAAAATAAATCGAACAAGTACAGTCCTTGTTTGTGCCACCCCGGCTTGGCTTTCTTATGGCTCTCTTAATCTCTCTCCATTCAAATCCCAGAATAGACATGGAACCCTTCTGTGACCCCCGCATCCCTTCATCTTTCCTCCTTTTCTTGCTCCTGCCAAGACTGTGCAAGACTTTCTTGTAAAGTTGAACAACTGCCTGCCTCGGGTTGTGTTTGTTTCCTATAAAGATAGAGCTGCGATTTCCCCCCCTACCCCCATCACTCGGCATATTTTTTGTGCAGGTGTGCATTTTGCAAACACCAAATCAGCACTCTGCCAAAGCGTGGCTGTTAACATTTATCACCCCTTCCCTTAGTCATCATGGCCACTGCCCTCCTGGGGGAACCGCCATGCTAATTCAGTGGAAGATTTAGCGCTAGTCCCGGTGGGAGCCTCAGATTAAAACAGCAGCACAAAAGAGGGAGAAAGTGTGTGTGGGTGTGCATGTGTGGGTGTGTAAAGAGGGGGCTCAAACAAGGAGAAAACAAGCTAGAGAAAGGTAAACTCAGTCGCCTCTTTTCTTATTACTGGAGACAATGATTTTTAATTGTTCTGCCTGAGCAAGTCCTGCCTTGAAGAAGTGGTGGATAATACTAATACTAATACTAATACTAATAATACTCTATTATAGTTTTCCTGGCAGCTCTAAGTCTATTCTTGCCTGGGAGGAGTCCAGTAACCCAGCATTGTTAAAGTACCTGGAAAGAAACATGTACAGAGATGTCCTGCTCTTATGATCAACAACATCATTTTCTTTGTTTTTTCTTGGCCTGCAATCTTTCTGGCTGATGGGGGAGTTCAAAAACTTAATATGTCCATATAAAAATCTGTATTTTCAAGGAGGCAACAAAATCTCTGAGTCCCAGACAGAAGTAACTGGTTTTGAAACAGATCTGTAGAAGGCACAGTGATACCTATTTGGAAATGATGACAGATCAATTGCAACATGGATGGAGAATTGCAACCTATCTGGCTTTGGGGATAGGAAACTTAAATGAACAAGCATACTGGCATTTTGAATGAGGAGCTTTTTTAAAATTATTGTAAAGGGCTTTTCCTTTTTAATAACTTATAATAATAACTTGTTCTTCTCCTAGAACTCCAGACTGTGATGGACATAGACATAAATTCCCTCTTCCTCCAAACTGCAGCCATAGGGTGTATCTACAATGTAGAAATAAGAAAGTTTGACATTATTTTAACTGCCATGGCTCCATCCTACAGAATCCTGGGATTTGTAGTTTTGTGAGGCAACAGCACCCTTTGGCAGTGAAGGCTAAAGACCTTGTAAAACTACAAATTCCAGGACTCCATGGGATGGAGCTACAGCACCTAAAGTGATGTCAAAGTACATTATTTCTACCATGTGGATGCACCCTCCATCTTGAGTGGAATTAATAAATAAATAAATAAATAAATAAATAAAAACATTGTGCATATGGTGAGATGATGCGACTCATTGGAAAAGACAATCATGCTCAGTAAAGTGGAAGACAGTCAGAAAAATGGAATATTGCAGGACACATGGATTGACTACATCAAGAAAGCCTTGGTTACTCTGAGCTTGCAAGGTAAGAGCAGTGTTCTTGGATGTCTTTCATTCAGAGGGCCACCATCTGTTGAAGGCAACTTGCTGCAAAGTGCAACAACAACATTTTTATGGCCTGAATCCTACTTTTAGTCCCAACTAGATTGGATGGATTGGATCAATGACATTTGTCTTCATCTTGACTTATCTCTCAACGATTGATTCTATGTGGAGCCCTGGTGGTGCAGTGCTTAAATGCCACTCATTCATGAACTGCAAGGTTGCAATGTCAATACCAGCCAAGGGCTCAGGCCTGACTCAGGCTTGCATCCTTCCGAGGTTTTTAAAATGAGTCCCCAACTTGTAGGGGGCAATTAGCTTACACATTGTAAACCACTTAGGGAATGCTTAAGTGCGTTGATAAGCAGTATAGAAATGTACTTGCTATTGCTATTGCTATGTGTCATCTCAACTTGGGACTAACCAAGAGGATTCAGGTCTATGAATATAATAAGGAAAAAAGGTGTACCGTATTTCTTATCAATTTTATTTGTATTTTAGTTATTACTCTTCAGAATAATAAGACCCAGTGTGGTGTAATGGTTTGAGCAATGGACGATGACTCCGGGGAGCAGGGTTTGGGTCCCCACTTGGCCATGGAAACCAACTGGGTGACCTTCAGTAAGTCACACACTCTGTCCATGGCCAAACAGGGAATCAAACCCTGGTCTCCAGAGTTGTAATCCAATGCTCAAGCAACTACACCATACTGTTTTATTATGTTTTTATTATCCTATTTGATATTTTTTTTTTAAAAAAAGAAGAAGATGTAATTGTTTAAAATTGCAGTGGCAAACCTCCTCAGAATAATTCATACCATGAAAACTCTAGTTCAGAGTCTTTGTAAGTTGGAGTCAACTTGAAGGCACATAAGAACAACACCCAAAATAGCAACAACCACAACAGCACACACATGCACACATCTGATACACAAATTCCAAAAATACAGTTCACACATATTTAGTATTACAAATATTTAAAACTATACATTGTTGTTGTTTTTGTGTATCTTTAAGGTGTTTCCAACTTACGGCAGCCCTAAGGCCAGTTATTATGGGGTTTTCTTGGCATGATATGTTCAAAGGAGGTTGGCCATTGCCTTCCCTTGAGGCTGGGATGGTGTGACTTGCTCAAGGCCACCCAGTGGCTTTCATGGCTGAGCTGGGAATCGAACCCTGGTCTCCAGAGTCATAGTCCAACACTCAAACCACTACAGCTTACTATACATTACACATGTTTAAAAATTACAGCTACGAAAAGGGCAAATTACCCATATCCAAATAACTAAAATCATAAATTAAAATATCTGACAAAATGCAAGAAAAGAAATATAAATGAGTGCTGGTGAGAGACATATTAAAACACTCACTTACTTCTCCAAAGCCTTTTTAAACAGATGTGTATTTAACCACCACCTAAAAGACCAAAGTCTGGGGGACAACCAGCTCTCTGATGCAAGGAAGTTGCAGAACCAGGATGCAAAAGAAAAAGAATTGAACGCCAGCTCTTGCAAAGACTGTCTAGTGCTATAATCATTCATAATGTTTCCTTTAGCATCAACAACACAATGATGATCAACATAATGTCTCCTCTCTTCAACATAGCAAGAAGTAGGAAAGGGGAAAGGGAACCGAAGAGTATTCTGGGTAAATGTCCCCCCTTTCCCTCATTAAGCTTGATTTCCATTTACATTTTAATGATGCTTGATGTCTTCTGTATGCTAGCATTTACTGCCATCTCTTTAAATTTAATTGCCTTGATAATGGGATACTCTGACACCACAAATTAGGGGCTAGGATGGAAGCAACCTTTTGTCACTTCCTGCAGGAGCATCTCCAAGTCCAACTATGACCTGTTGAGTCACAAGCAAGAGCTGCATGCATTTGCCTCCCACATGCTGCATTTGGACTGATGGACGGCAATGTCTGGCCTGATGAAAGTGATTGTTCTTCTCGGTTTGAGTTGTTTGGCTTGTTAAAGAATGACTCAAGATGGGAATAGCATCACACAAAGGCTGGCCGGTCTAAAAATGTATTTGCACTCCTCTAGGGATGTAACTCTTCACTAATGTGTCTCTTGAAGGAAGCAACAGGTAATTTTAGCAATTTTCTTCCCACTGTGAGAAAGTCTTCAAAAGCCATGGGGTTCTTAAAATCTATTCACAGTTCAGGCCTCCTTTTACACAGCATTCAAAGATGGATGTTTTGCATAGGAAACATTTTCCGTGCAGAAGACAGCATCTTTGCATATAGTTGATTTGTGTAGAAAACAGCATTTTCTGCAGGAAACTATTAATTTTGCACAGGAAAAAAAAAATTCTTGTGCAGAAGAAGTCCCAAATTTCAGGATTTTTGTCAGAGGAAGCAGCTTTTTCAGTGAAGTTTCATACACAAAGCAACAACATGAAAATTTAGAAAATTTGTCATCAGTATAGGATTTTTTTCTCATCAGGGTTTCTCAACGCTGAAAATAACAACAAGTATTGTGATGACATTTTGAGTATTCTTCCCATCCCTACACTACTCGGTCACAACAAATTGGTACTACCTCTCATGGTTTCACCCAGCAGCATCCTGGGATATGTAGTTTGGTGAGGGCCTTAGGATGCCTTGCTAAGGAGCACAACTCAGCTACAGTTTTCAATGTTTAATGCTCCAGTCTTCTTCTTTGGGTACCTTGGTAGCTAAGGTGGACTTGAGCTTTCTAGCACAGTATCAAGTCTGCTTGTATTGAAATTTGCAAAGATCAAATTCTTCAGGTATCCCTGGTTTAATCCAGTGAACTAGATGAAATAAAGTAATCTCCTGAAACTGCTCAGAAACACCATGGCCTGAACTCTATTTCAATGCATCAGTTGTTGAATGTTGAATCAACATGTAGATAAATAACACATGATACAATGGGTCTACTCTAATTGAGACTAATAAGAGGATGCAGACCCCAATATGAACCAGCCATAAAGGTGACCACTTTGCACATAACATAGTACACAGATTATTCTGTAGCATGCCTGTATTCCAATTTCTGGATTATTTTTTATTGGGGAAAAAAAACACCTCTGACCTTAATTCATATGCATGACAAAATTGTAAGCATTCACTTAGAAATATGCAAAAGGAAGGCAGATGAGGAATGAGGCAACTGCTAGGAAATCATTTGACTATCAAAGATAATATCCAGTTGGGGTCTGGCTATGAATAACATTTGCAAGTGCTTCAGTTCTGGATGAGAGTTACATCACCCTCACTAAGCTTCAGATCTTCCTGTTTCAAAAGTTTATTGAAAAAGTCATTCCAAATGAAAGTACTATCCTGTGCTTTTATGAGCCTGCTTTTCAATGATGAAGTTTGCTAGCTTTCCTCTTAGCTGCCTCCTGGTAATATTTCATTCAGGCGAATAATGATTTTGCTAGGAAATAACTTTTCTCTTAGTTATATGTTAGTCAAGCTTCCATGACATGCTTCTTGTCCTAAGTCCATAGCCCCTGATATTCCTGAACAATGAGATTGTTGACCCCAGACTGGGGAAATGCTTGCAAAATCTGTGCATGGTGAACTATAGCTGCTTGCATCTGTACAACCATCACAATGTGTGAGATTTTGTGTTCCATGTATGTGTTGGGAACCTCAGGAGATGTATACTGTTAAGGCCTATTGAAAGTGGAATCTCATTTCTAGTGGGAAGGAGGACACATAAATAATGTGCTATGGTCCATTTGCTGTTGTTATGAGTCTTTGAAGTCAACTCCAACTAATGGTGACACCATGCTAGGGTATTCTTGGCAAGATTCATTCTGAGAAAGTTTGCCATTGACTTCCTCTAAGGCTGAGACAGTGCAACTTGTCCAAGGTCACGGAGAAGGGTTTCCCTGGTGAAGGCGGGAATTGAACCCTGTCTCCCAGAGTCTTAAGTCTCATCTATATTGTAAAAATAATATAGTTTGATACTACTTTAACTGTCATGACCCGATGCTATGGAATCCTGGGATTTGTTTGTTGCGGTACCAGAGCTCTCAGACAATGAACATTAAATGCACAGATATAGGATGGGGGACACCTGGCTTCACAAGAGTACACGAGAAAGGTATCTAGGCATTTTAGTAGACCATAAGCTGACTGTGAGTGAACAGTGTGATGCAGCAGCTAAAAAAGCCAATATGATTCTAGGCTGCATCACTCAAAGTATAGTCTCTAGATCAAGCGAAGTATTAGTGCCACTCTATTCTGCTTTGGTCAGGCCTCACCTGGAATATTGTGTCAAGTTCTAGACACCACAATTCAAGAAGGATGTTGACAAGCAGAGGAGGACAACCAAAATGGCGAAAGATCTAGAAATTATGCTCAACAAAGAGCATCTTAGGAACCTAGGTAAGTTTAGCTGGGAAAGAGAGGGTTAAGGCATGACATGTGAGCCATATGTAAATATTTGAAAGGATGTCACATTAAGAAGGAGCAAGCTCATTCTTTGCTACCCCAGAGGGTGGGTCTAGGTCTAATGGTTGTAAGTTACAGGAGAGTCAATTTCAGTTGAACATTAGAAGGAACTTCTTGACAGTATGAGTGGTTTGGCAATGGAACCAATTGCCTAGAGATGTGATGGGGTCTCCTTCTCTGGATATCTTCCAAAAAGAGTCTAGACAGATCCCAGATGTAGATGCTGTAGCTGGAGATCACGTGTTGAGCATGAGGTTTCTATGAACAGCAGGTCTATTCAGGGTAGAAAACCACTTGTGCATTTGTCACCTCTTTGGTTTACTGACTTTGTTTTGCTACAAAGGACCATTTCTTCACCCACTTTCAGAAGTAGGGGACTACACCATCACTGCCACCACTCTCCATGAGAATTAGGGTCTCACAAGAAAGATAAACAGTCACTTTTGAAAGGCATGGCGTTGGATGCTCCCTCTCTCCTCAAGAACACTTTTTTTTCCTCCCAGGATTTAGGTTAAGTATAGCCACAAGAAAATAAAGTAAAATAAAAATAGAAAACAGAAACCAGCCCAACAACAATCAATATCCCAATGAAAACTTCTTGCTTCAAACTCTCCAACCACCGGAGTTCCATTAACTCATCTTTCTTTCCATTTTTGTGCTCCATTAAGAGCAGGGATGGGGTTCCCTGTCTTCAGTTCTAAAATAATACCGTCACATCTTTAGAATCAATTCCTGCCAAGCCACCAATGTTATTCTTCTTTGACTTTAGCAAAAAAGAAGAAGCTCTAAGCAAGAGGTTAGAAGGCTCTTCCTGGATGGATCACCCTCACATCTTCATTTTGGGGATTTGTTCTGTTTCAGCCTGCTGATGCATTTCCAGCATAGGCAAAGCTGATCCGGGAAAGCACTGACTTCTGTTTCCATGGAGGAAACACATAGAAATGGAAATGACTGCCCAGTTATCAAGCCAGACTACTGTTCCTTCTAGTTTAGCATTATCTATACTGACCAGGGATGCCAGGTCAGGGTTTCACACCATCTCACACCCTGAAGGGTTTCGCACCATCTCACACCCTAACCCTAACGAGTTGTCCCCCATGTTTTGCTCTTTAATGTTCTTTACTTTATAATAAACCTTTTCCCTTCAGTACTCTGCCTCTTTCTTCATCCCTTTTCATAGCCTTAGCTTGGCTAGTGTTTTTTCTGATTGTCGGTTACTAGTAGAAGGCCCAGCAATGTCCCAATGCATTGCTAGGTGTAACAGATTGATCATTGGGTGGTGGTAGCAAGTTGTTTTGGGGATTAAAGTGTTCTCAAGGGGTCCCATCCAGCTCAGCAGAGTGAAGTGAGACCATAGAGAACCTTCACACCAGGGATTTATTTAAATACATTATACCTCACCCTTTGACCATAAAGGTTACAATTGATTGGTTCAACAGTTCCCTAGCCTCAGGGTTACAACCTAAAGCATGTCTTTGTGCAAACTTTGTGTGCACATCCATGCCCAACATGCATGTTCATGTACACAACTCCTTTTCTGCAAATGTGAACTCAAGGAGGACATTCCTCATCAAGCAAAAACATTCAGATACTTCCATATGAGATGTTATGGTTCTGCAAAACACAAATAGGTGTCTTGCTCAAATATTGCTTCTGCTTTTCCCTCTTATTTTTTAGACTGTTAGACTCTATGCCTCTGATGGTACTGCATATTACTGCCCATGTAACCAGCAACAGAGGGAATTACATGTCCTGCAATGAACTGTGTCCTTACTTCACACACATACACTTGTA